TCCTGGTCTACTCGATTTGTTTTGAGACTCGGGAGTTTGAAAACCCCCCAATAGAAAATGTCACTAGCGGTGTTTGTCCCGTGAGTCACTGGAGCGGAGTAGTTGGTTTTTGTTACGGATCCATGAGTCACTCTCAACTTTCACAGCACACATCGCAGAGCTTGATTGTTGTTGCCTGCGTATAATATGGTAATGGTAAAATAATCACATTCATTAATCACTACTCCCTGAGAAATCCACGCCTCTCTGTTGTACGATGCTTTCTGACTTGGGAAACAAAGCATTGTTGACAGCTCGTTGGTGAGTAGGAACCATCCAGCAGTTGAGGGTTTGGCGATGCCTGTCCGTTTGGTGATTGGTGGAGTGAGTTCAGCTGTTAGATATGTGACTGTTCTTAGAATTTCTGAAACTGAGTTGAAACAGATCCATAGAAGAGCGATCTACCGGTATTGAGTTCAGAACAGTAATTTAGGCGAAATGGTTCGGCAGGTGACTGCAACACCAGCAGTTTCTCTCATTATGTTTATTATGATTACATCGTCATTTTCTTTGTACTATTCGGTTCAGTATTACGTCTATCGTATTGTGCAAATCGCTTGTTTGTCCGGACAGTGCATCACACACACATGACCTTGAGTTTGCATCAACGACAGATGCGGAGGGTGAATTACTTCACGAGAATGCACTCGTTTGCAGACAGTGTGTACTCATCTATTCTGATGGCAGTGTCGTATTCACAGTTCTTTAAATTCTCACATATGATCCTCCAGGTTACCGTCGCTGCAACAGGCGAATACTTGATCAGTGCAGCGGGTGAGATTCATTTGGAAAAATGTTTGGAAGACATGACCAAGTATTTCGCACCCGACGTGGAGTTACATATATCCACTTTTGTCGTACCGTTTCGCGAAACCCTGATTGAACCATCTCCAGTTACGGGAACAACACTGTCTGCCACGGCAAATGATTCTCGCAATCGAGCTGCAAAGAAAATGGAATCCATATTGCAACGTTTGGATCAAATCGGGACTCAGTCGGCACTAGTCCATGAACCTGGAGCAGACACGTCAATTCAGGAGCATACTGAGGACAGTCCGTCCGAATACAAGGAGCAAATGGAGCCAGTGGCAAACAGCACAGCTCCAGCCCCGAAGGATAAAACTGTCAACCCGGAAACGAGGACAGGCAAACAGGCAGCTCGACACACACTCAGCGTGGATGCGGATTTGCCCGAATGTCCAGTTGGATATTTTCAACTGCCACACAGCAGATCTCGCACCAGGGTCCTGATCCATGTAAGCAGTCACCCAATGCCAGAAAAAATGCTCAAATGGGTTGAGAAACGGGGCTCGCGAAAAATTCCGCAACTCATCCGAGCATTCAAGACGAAAGTGAGTTTCGGTAGTTTTTGCATTTCTCGTAAGTTTAAATGATGAGTATGCCAAAAACTGTTTGCGTCATGATCGCGTTGCTTATGTACCACCTTGTAATCGTTGCGCAGCTCTCATTCGGATTAAGAATATTTCAGAAGTGCATACTGAAGGAGCTTTTTGCTACTCGAACTTTTGAGTCCCGCATAGTACTGCCAAATTTAGTCAAAGAGTTTTAGGCAGTCACTTCCATCAGTGCATAATCCACATTGGTTCTGGTGTCTGGGGCAGGTAGTACGCTTATCACCCTGCAGGTGTACCATGATTGCTGAGGCAAGTATGCGCTGGTGGAAGACCGGTATGAGGGTTCAAAAACCTCAACCAGAGAGATAGATGGTGTGTGTATGTGTGAGCTGGGTAACGTATGTCATCCTAGGCTTTCTAATCAGCGACAGCTTAACAGGACTAATCAGTGATTATGTAGAGACAAGGAGTGGTTTAGCCGTGTCAGACAGCGCCCGCGTTTCTGTTTGCTTTCTACACAAATGTGATTTTCTTGCTTCCTGTGTTTCTAAGTTTTGATGAATCGGTTGGCTTCAAGCTCTTTCATTTACTGCTTCCTCCTTGGTCGATCAAAAAAGACAACCAAAAGTGTTGCTTGGCCGTACAAGGTTAATTGGTTTGCAAACTGATGCTGAAACTGGGCTGGCTCTACTGGTTGATTTCACTTCAGCACTATTCGATACATCGCTGGTCCTGAGATAAACGAATTTCAACAGCCTCAAAAGATCCTTAATTTTTATTGACCCAAGGTTCATGGTAGTAGATAGTGGGATTCAAGGATTGTGAACAAAAATCAGTGTGCTCTTGGTTGCAATGAATATCCAAACATGCCATGTGATTACTGTTCTCGTATTCCCAAATAAATGAATGCAGGTAATATATTGAGGTATTCCTATCGAACGGACGGGTTGTTACCGCTTCCCTTTGCAGATCAGGTTTTCATTTCGGTTTTACTATCCTCACCATCCCAATTCCTAGCATCACTGTTTGCTAGTGTTTTCCTAAACAACTGAACCTCTACAGTAAAACTCCACATTTACTTTAAATGAAAAGCTAAAGTTCTCTCAAGGGTGTTTGAGGTGTCATTCGGTTTCGGTTTTTACAACCATTAGCCATACACTTTCTTGCGTCAGTTTTGGTTGCTGTCTTTTGGTGAGGTGTTGTGTTTCTTGAAACATCCACCAAAGAAGACTGTCATCTCACGGCGAAGGTATTTTCTTCAAATCAGAGAAACAAAGACCATTATCCGGTTTCCAGCTTTTCCCGGAAGAGACGTGTGAATTGGATTCCGTTCACGATGGTCACCGGCGGTGAGTTGTCCTGTGCACCTCGCCATGTGAATCGCCTTTGGGAGATATCATGCCATCATCGTCCAATGAATTGTGGCCTTCATGCACCTTCCGCCTTGCAAGCCATTTATTAGCTATCCGCAGGCCTCAATCGTGAATCCTTAAGAAAATCTTTTACGTGAGTTTAACCAACCTAGCACCATCTCGCCCATAAATAAATCAAGTAACTATTTCATTTTCACGGAGGTTTTCGTGCCGTGATTTGCTCAGTATATAATCTAGACGCGGGAAAGTATGAAACGTATAATGCTGTAATAAAAAGATATTGTGTAAAGATCCTCTAACGCATTGCTGTCCATACATTCCTATATCAACTTGAGGTTTTCCTTTTATTTTTGAATCCGAACCAGGTGATGTTTTTTTTCGAAATTAGTGATTTAGGCTTTCTCCTTCGTTGTCTGTAATACATTTTTGTTTCTCCTGTTTTTTTAAAATTAAAAACTAGTCCTCCAATTACGAAAATCTATTGAGCCGTCTGAACGAGGAGTTTACCCAGGTCTGTGAGGCAATAATTCGTGATCCAACCGACACAGCTGCCACAGATTCTATCAGTCAACTAGACTGGAAACAGTTACCCAATCAACTTTTGGCTCTGGGACCAAATCAGACGGGACCAAACATGCTCTTCTGTCGGCTGCAATCCAACTGTTTTCCAGTGTTTACATCTTGGGGTCAGGAAATCAGTTTCGCGAATGGAAAATCATTCCATGTAGAACGACGGAACGATCGCGGCATTTCGTTGCCGCTAATCAGCTACGGAAAAGCGCTCCTCCGAGGTTTTCAACTTGCTACTGAACGCGGTCCACTCTGCGCCGAGCCAATGCGTGGAGTCATGTTTATGTTGGAAGAGATCTTTGCCGATGATTGTTGCATTTTGGATACACCCAGACTGATGGAAGCCACCGATACTGTAACGACCGATGGTGATACCAAAGCGACAGAAGCCATTGACATTGTGGGTTCTCTTGAAACAGCCCAAGTGGACGTAGATGCTACCAAGGACGATGCGATAAAAAAACGTCGAAGAGCACCGCGCCTGACCTCCATTTCTTGGTTGGATGACGATTCGGATGGTCAGTTTGAGAACGATGATGATAATCTGGACTTTGACCCGGTGGATGATTGGGACTGGCAATCCGGTGACGAAACCGGCGAAGAGAGCCATAAATCGGAGTTTAGTCATGAGTCGTATGAAGCGGAGGACGATGATGCATGTGAAAATGTCGAGACAAAAGTTAGTCACCATTACTTATGAAGTATTATTCACTGGGCATCCTCAGCTGTGCTTATTTTCAGTGATTAAGGTTTCCTCATCAGAGACTGTTTGAAACGCTTGGTCGTATAGGAGAATTTCGTGAGGTGCAAGGGAAGGGTTTCCAACCACAACCCAAGACACCCACCCCGACCACATTGAGGCTTTCAGAGGCATAAATGCTAGGATTTCGTGAACTAAACGCAAACTCGTTTGCAGTGATTCGTAATGTTGCCAATACATCGTAAGGTATATCACTATTTAAGGAGAGTAATGTCTCGGAAAGGAAGAATTAACGTCATAGATCACTCGATTCCGGTTCATCCTGAGACCGGATCTGAGATTGTATCAAGTATAACTTTTACAACCACTGAAGCTTACACTGCAGTTACACTGTACACACTAACCGTCACGGAATGTATTCCACGGGGAGAAAATGTTTACAGACATGGGAACATTTCATAACCCAAGGCTAAGACAAAGTTCACTTACTAATCTCTTTGTCTGTGAGTAAACATGCAAGATGGGTGAGTTTTGATAAGCTTTTATTCCAGATGAAAATTGGCGGAATTGGGAGCGTGTAGAGGGATGGGAACGATAACGTGTCAGTTCTGCGCGTGCAAGGGGTGGTCCAGATCTATGAGAATCCTCTCTTCGAATTTCACGCCAAAAGTTGTACGATACTCTGAAAGCTTCACAGCTATTCACAGTATAGAAGAAACGCGACTAATAACAGTTAGACCGCGGTCCAATACTTTGAAATCGTGTTTGAGTAAGTCAGAAAAAATAACTGGGAATGAGGGAAGCACACTGATAACCAAAGGTAGAAATAACTGACTGCGCGAAACTCCTGAGCTTTCGAATTTAAAATGATGGGCGATGCAGTGTACTAATTCAGTCGTAGATGTGAGTTGACCAATGAAGATTCTTATCTTTGGTTACACCAAGATATTTGACAGAGTTTACCCTAGATAAGGGATTGTTGTTAATCACTGTGTGGTCTGTCGGACATGGAGTGCGTGCAGAACTATATAAACACTCAAGACATTTACTGGGGTTCAGGGTTAGCCCCGATGAGGAGGAGAATGACTGAATGTGATCACGATTGCCCGTGAAAGAACTTAGATCAGAATAAGGAGCTGGCACAACACGACGTCATCTTCAAATACGTGCAGGAGAAACACAAGGAATATCACAAATATAAATGGAAAACAAGTATGTGGATAGCACAGCGCTTTGAAGATCTCCAGAGTTGTTGACTTAGGGTTTAGATTAAGCCTTCTCCAATCTAGTGGTTTGTACTCTATCAGTAAAATGTTTGGATAGCCAAGCTAAAAATTGCCTGGGGCATTGAAACGATTCCAGGAATGGAATCAAATGCTGAAGAGTAGTCCAGAAAAACACACCAAACAGACTTCACAGAGCTGTTCAAAGACTTAATGATAAAATGAATAAAGGTGGAGACTGCGTCCAAGATGGATCTATTAGGCTTGTAAGCAATCTGTAAAGGATGTTTTGAATGAGTGCTGAAGGCATTTGGGGATAGCCTTTTCAGTCAACTTAAAAGCTGAAGGTGTTAACGCTACAGGACCAAAACGTTCGAAGAGGATAGAAGATTTGGATGCTTTGGGGATCAGTATGATTGTGACCGGCCTCCAACAGTCGGGAATAATAGAAGTGTTAAGAGATTCATTTACAATGGAGGTGATTGCCCCAACTGGGGAAGCAGCACCAAATTTGAAGGGGGGGGGGGTTGTAGGTAAGTCATTCAGACCTGCAGCAGAAGACCAATAGTAACTATTTAAAAGCTTTAATACATCACAATTCGAGAAGGGTTCCACATTGCAAACAGTGTGACGAGTGGGTAGGAAGAATGTCCGACGACTGGTGCAGGAATTGGGATTGAGAAGAAGAAGATGGTTCTCCAAATACGTGCCTAAGACTTTAGGACACGGCATACTTCGCGGCAGCCCACACCGACGAAGAGGTTTTTCTTTGGAGATCCTAACCGGAGCCTTAGACTCAAAAGTCTGACCCGCAAGACATCATCATCATCCTCATCCCTACTTTTTCCTTTCACGGTTCAATCTTATACCTTGCCACAAGTGTTTACTGTTTCCAGTCCTCAGAATGTGATCAGCGAATGAGGCGTTAAATCTGTTTACTTCAGCTTTGATAAGCCTGAACAAATACCTGATAGCTAAAGCATCCTGAGACTTATATACCCGGTCCTTTTGTCGTCTTTAGTAGCGGAGAGGTTATCCTTCCGTTGGACATACTTTGAATAGGGCGACAGTAATTATGAATAGCATTGGTTGTTTGGGTGAGTAGGGGAACATACGAAAAGAAAAAGATGATGAAAACCATAAAGAGACCTGTCTGAGAGATTCATTGAGGAGAGAAACATTTATAGGTGAGAAGTTACGAATGCAAATCTGATGTCTTCAGATCGAGAAAAAGATTTATATGCACAGTGGGAATAAGCTTAAGTTCGGACCAAGAGGAAACAGTGGTCGCTGGGGGAAATTGGTAGTTTTAGTGCTAAGGAAACAAGGGTTGGGTGGTTGATGATTACTCTGTCTGGTATAGAGTTACCTCTATACCTTTTCAAATTCAAATGAATCCGTCATAACTTCAAGTGAATCCAGCCAATCGCACTCCCTTAAAACCCCTCAAGATTGGTGTTTCGGCCGTCAAATGTCACCCATTGGACCGGGTCTGTCTGAACCCCGTCCAG